ATCTAGTTGACATAACAACCTGTGTGTGATGTTTTGGTGGAGTTAAAGTGAATGGACAATCACTTTTTGGCCACATTGAACGACCATTTATTGGATTAATTTTGTTCAGATACATGGCTCTCCATGTTGATAACTTATAGCAAGGATGGACCCAATCCTCAACATCAGGGGCATCTTCTCCATTTTCAATTTTGTTCCATATAGCAGAAACAGCATGCCTACATGGAAAACCTGTAATCTCCCAGAACCTACAAGTGCAACTTCTTTCATTTAGGTTCACCACATACTGATCCTGCCATGTGCTTGCAACTTGGTACTTTCCTGCCCCATTATACTTAGCTACATACTTTGCTGCTTGAGTCTTAATCTCCTCTAAAATTATAGTTGCAGTATTACTTAGTTCGCCTTGACACTTATCTATTTCCTTTTGCACAACACACAATCTCTTCATGAGATACTCTCTAATATACTCTAAGCAGGTGATGATTGGTTTATCCCTACCTTCCTCTATCTTAGCATTGAATACCTCACAAAGATTATTCAACAAACAATCAGTGTGTGCCCTACCTGTGAAAAACATATTCAAAAAGAGAAATTACAAATTTTATATTAAAACATAAAACTCAACAACTTCTAAATGACATACCACTGAAGTGAGATTTAGACCATGTCTCTGCAGGAATCTTACACAACCAAGCATGAGCTTCATCATTCATTTTCTTCAACTCATCCATTGCATACTTAAAGTGATTTAATGTTGTTGCTCTACCATATTCCCAAACCAAGTCACTCAACTCTTTTCCTTTCCATTGTTCTTCAAATTCTCCTGAATATGCCTCAAACAAAACCTATGTTCTGCATTGGGGAATACCTTTGCAACTGTTGGTATTATCCCCTTAACAAATGCAAATACAGTCAGTTTCATTTATAAAAATTGAAAGTAAGGTACACTATCATGAGAAATAATTAGGTAAAACATACCTTTTGTCTATCAGAAATGAAGGTAAAATTTGAATTTGCTCCCAATTCCAAGTCTTCTCCTAACAATTCCATGAACCAGGTCCAAGAACTAGTTGTCTCAGCCTCTACCACTGCATATGCTACAGGGTATATTCCATTATTTGAGTCTAGACCCACAGCAGTTAGTACCTGCCCAGGAAATGGGCCTTTCAAGAATGTACCATCAACTCCCAGGAAATCCCTTAACCCAACTTTGAATCCCAACTTCAATGCACCTAGACATACATATATTCTTCTAAAAGTTCTTGTAGTAGTCGACAAGCATGGTTCAGGATACACATCTATCCTAACAGTTGAACCAGGATTAGTGTTTAGCAGTTCCAAAGCATAATCCCTCAGATACCCATATTGAAGTTGGTAGTCCCCACTAATCACACGTTCAGCCATTTGCTTTGCCCTACCAACCTTTTGAACTGACATACCAAGCTCCAGCTTCTTACACAACTCCTCGTGTAAAGCTTTGATTGGAATTTTAGGGTTGCTCTGAATTTGTGGGACAATTAAGTTTGCTAAATATTTGGAAGTACAAGCTTTAATTGATCTTGTCTGCAAACATTTATGGACATCATGTACTGTTTTCACCAACCATTCCTTATTCTCATCTGGCCTCGAGATTTGGACTGCCCACGGACATTTTCCTTTTTTTACTAATCACATTTTTGCCCTTGCACTTTACCTTACTTCTTGTTGATGGCCCACCACATTCAACTATTTTAGTAGATTGTCCCTTGCACTTTACCTTACTTCTAGTTGATGGCCCACCACATTGAACTGTTTCAGTAGATTGGCCCACAACACCTCCACATTTGACCCTTATCCTGATTTTATCATTTTTTGCTAAGTATAGGGACCTCCTTGTATTTACAGCATGTGCATGCATGTAGTCCACAACTTCCTTCTTTGTTTTGAAACACTGCCCCACCCTATATGGTTTTAAATGGATCTCCCCATGTGAGCATGGAGTTGACCTACTCAACTCCTTAAGCATTTTTGTCCTTTCATCTTCATAAAATCCTGCATACTGATAATCATCACTTTGAATAACTTCCAACTCTTCATCAACTATGTCATTCCCTATACTTTCGGTTTGCTTGTTTAAAATTCCATGTTCATCTACATCCACGACACTTTGGAATTCACTCATGTCTACATCCACATCAAATTGCAAGTTAGACTCATGTACAATGTAGTCACTATCATCAGAATCATCTCCACTATAATCAAAACCATCTTCATTCTGACTATAGAAAGCATCTCCACTGTTATCACTTACCATGCCCTCTAGAATTTCCATTTCTATTTGATTGTCTTCACCATTTGGTACACTGTACTCAGCATCAAAGTCAGCATAAGTTGAATAATCATCTGTAAATGCTTCAAATTCATCGAGTCTTACACTTTGTTGTCCATCAATATCTTCACAAATTGGTTCCTTTGCAAGATTGCCTAAATTACCCTTACACACTTCTTCTATGTGGCCCATGATCAATCCTTCATTCACATCAATGACATTACTTCGTTGGCTAACTTGAGACATAACATATGGAACAATAGTCTTTGAATGATCCTGAATTTCATCCATATCTATTACCTGTGACTGGTCAACAACATGGTTGGCAGGGTGGTCTAACTCAAGCTTTTTACTACACGATCCTACTTCTCTTCTATAAGGTTTTTTTCTATTAAGTTCCGATGACACACTCTCAGGTTCCAGTTCCTCAATAACAACTTTGGAAGGAGACTTAAAATAACTAGCTACCCTAGTCTGACCAATTTCAATATAGAGCTTTACAAGTCTGTGCTTAGGGACATACGAAACCAATTTAAGAACATCTTGGTCATTACCTAAAGGCAATAACCCGTAGTCTAAGGGAAATTCAGGGATACAAAAATGGTAGTAAAGAGTTTGTTCACCTTTGTACCCTAATTCTCGAACCATGTCATCGAGTTCATGGACTGAAAATAAATCAGTGTCAACGTCATCTACGTATGATACAGTACCATCGACGTATTTCCTTCCAGGTGACTTGGTGAAGACACCACTATAATGTATCTTCAACGTGAAATAGTTATCATATCCCTCTGCAAACACAAAAATAGAAAGGGTAAAGAAGATGATTTATCTTCACGAATACATTCAAGGAAAACAAAAACTTAAGTTTTTTTTTTTATGAAAAATCTTATCGTATCTCGATTGCAAGTCCTTCAAGCACACATTTTTTTTCACGCAAACACCATATTGACAGAACCATTGTCCTTTGGTGCTGTGTAAACCCTAAACCCCAATTTCGTTTCTTGGATGAGAGTGATCTGTTGAAGATGAAGTCACTGTACTCGTGGGAGATGAAGAGTGTTTGGGAGTTGACGTGAAGAAGACAGTGGCATAATCATTTCCCTCAATAAAGAAGAGGGCACAGGCGAAAAGACCGATTTGCCCTTATATTATTTTAATGAAATAAGGGTTAACGGTGGGGTTCTAATGGTGTGAGGGATAAGGACCATCTGTCAAAAGTTTTGAAAGCACAGGGACCATTTATGAGATTTTTAAACCACAGGGACTAAACTTCAGAATCTGGGAAAACACAGGAACCATTTATGATGTTTTTTCTAAATTGTTTTATGCGATATTGGTAAGTTAAAAATCAATTTGTTTGGGGGCAAACAAAGGTTAAGTGTGTGGTATTTTGATATGTGCATATTTAGTCATATATTTCATACAGTATCTTAATATTTTATGCTATATTATGCTTATTATAGAACAAAAAGGTACTTATTATGTTTATTATATGATATGTACCGTAAAGACATGCTCGGAAGCAATATGGAAGCTGGAAGCAGGAAAATGCGAGCTTAGGCAAGAAGAAGACACAAAAAGAATGTTGTTGGACAGCTTGACCACTTGTCAGTATTTTGGCCATATCTCATGACTTGTAAATCCGATTGACGAGATTCAAAATAATCTGAAAGGGAAGTGCCCGACTTGATCGCACTGCATCCCCCAAAATTTATTTTCTGCACCACTGATCTATGATTTTTACTCTGATGTTTGAACATATTATACCCTGATTGTCTTTTGAACAAATGGTTGAATGTTTTTTTGGTGATTGAAAACAAAATTTTTACTTTATATATTGGGATGTTACACAAAACACATGGGCCAAGCATGTAATTTAATCTCAAATTTACAGTAACATTGTTAATTATAAATTTGGTTCCATGATATCAATGGTCATTTAAAAAAAATTCTAAAGGACTACAACTAACATTGTAAATGTTAGGTACAAAAATAAAAGAATAAGAATAAAAAAAATTAAATCGATGAAAATTAAAAACTACAAGGACAATTTTTGCAGTTTACCTAAAATATTTCTATCAATAATTAATTTTATAAACAAAATATTATTTGTGTTAAAAAGAAAATGACACACTTGTCCAACAAAGTATTTCGGATTTTCCAATTCAGTCCCAAAAACTTTTTTAGTTTTGGTGCTTTATGGGGCATAAAGTAGATATTCATATGTTCTTTTGGTCACTGCTACCTAATATAACATGTTTTATAAGCCACATTAACTTTGTTGTATGTTTTTTATTCAAAACAATTAAACTCACTGAATAGTCAACAAAATAGTCAAAATTAAAAGTTATTCATTTTGTCAGTTTGATAATCATTTAGTTATCAAACTAATAAAATAGATAAATCTTAATTTTGACTATTTGGTTTACCATGTATGTAGTGAGTTTAACTTTTTTAAAAATGATGTGACTTATAAAATCTGTTATATCATATAGCTGTGACAAATAAAAAAGAGTTGAATATCTACTTTATGTCCCATAAAAATAGAAAAAAAAAGTTTTAGGACTTAATAGAAAAATTCAAAATATTTTGTTTGGGCTAATATATCATTTTGTTAAAACATAGCAATTTACCCTGGCAATAAAGAATGAACTTAACCAAACGTGGAAAAGGGCACTTCTATCTTTGTAAACAACAGACAAAGTCGCATAGTCCAAACTAAACAAGAGGATTTCAAAATCTGGAAAAGAGGGGAAAAGCCTCAATTCAAATTAACGCATCAGATGCACCACACAAACACCGTGCAGATTTCACACAAACACCCCTATCCTTCAATCGGAAACACCATCGGCGACACCCTAGGAGCGACCGGTGCAGCATCTTCCATTCATCTGTGTCGTTCAATCAACTTTAGTGGAGCCACGAGGTTAGTTTTGAATCTTTGTATGTTAAAGCCCCAGTAATCTGTTCGCTTTTTTTATTCTTTTACTTTGTGAAAACCCTTTCCATTTAGCGTTTGAGAGTTGGAATTCAAGGTATGGAATGGAATTGAAGCTCATTTAGTTACAATTTCTGAACTGATTTGGTTCCCTTCACAATTTCAGTATCAGAATCTAATAAAATAGTCACATCTGTGATCTGTTACTGCGAGGCTAAATGGGTCCCTATTAATGATGTAGCCATGAAATTCGAGACCCTAAACATAACATCACAGATGCTTTTCGTGGGATATGGTTACAAGTTCTGTATTAGCCTTGATTAACACTTATGTTTTCAATTATCTGTGGTTTTCATGTGTTGAGTTCTTGAAGGGAATTAGGTCACTAGAGATAAATTGGTAGCCTTGATTAACACTTATCTCTTTTTTCTTTCAGATTATTGCTCATTCAGACATAGCAGTTTATTCGTTTGACAAGATATGTCTCTTCTCAGTAGATTCTTTTATAGAAGACCACCCGATGGCTTGCTTGAGCTTGTGGATAGAATTTATGGTATTTAACCACAATTGCAATCCTATCTAGAATTCATTTCATTAGTTTTCTTCTTCTTCTTTACACTAACGTCTCTATATTCTTGTTTTTGTTTTTCTGCAGTTTTTGATTCTTGCTTTTCAACCGAAGTTCTACCAGAGGGACTTTATCAACTTTATTTGCATGAAATTAGTAACGAATTACACGAAGAATTCCCAGAATCCTCCTTTCTTGCATTCAATTTCAGAGAAGGTGAAAGAAGGAGCCAATTCTCAGAAATTTTATGCGAGTATGACATCACAGTCATGGACTACCCAAAACAGTATGAAGGCTGTCCCCTTCTTCCATTATCTCTTGTCCATCATTTTCTTCGTCTGTGTGAGAGTTGGCTTACTCTTGGCAACAATCAAAATGTCATTTTGCTTCATTGTGAGAGAGGTGGTTGGCCTCTTTTAGCCTTCCTTTTAGCCAGCATTTTGATTTATAAAAAACTACAAACTGGTGAACGGAAGACTCTTGAAATTGTTTATCGTGAGGCCCCAAAAGGGTTGTCTCAACTTTTGTCACCTTTAAATCCGTACCCTTCACAGCTTCGGTACCTTCAATACATATCAAGGAGAAATTTATCTGAGGAATGGCCTCCACCTGAAAGAGCTTTGTCTTTGGATTGCCTCATTTTGCGTGCTATTCCAAATTTTGACAATAAAAATGGATGCAGACCAGTGATTCGAATCTATGGGAGAAATCTTTTAAGTAAAGATGGGCTTTTGACACAAATGTTATATTCCACTCCTAGGAGAGGTAGAAATCTGAGGCATTATCGCCAGGTAAGATTTATATGTAAAATGTTTCCATAAAGTGTCATTTACATGCATTCTTTTGATTCACCAAGTGTTATTTATGGGATTTGCTGACAAATAGGCGTGATATGATGCAGAAACAAAGTGATGTTATAAAGATTGATATTCAGTGTTTGGTGGAAGGTGATGTTGTATTAGAGTGTCTCCATTTAGACATTGATTCTGAAAGAGAAGTTATGATGTTTCGCATAATGTTCAACACTGCATTTATCAGATCCAATATTTTGATGCTGAATTGTGACAATTTGGACACTTTATGGGACTCAAAGGCACGGTTTCCAAAAGGGTTCAGAGCTGAGGTTCTTTTTGGAGATGTTGAGAACATTTGTTCACCAAAAACACCAACCACAATGTTGAATGGAGAAGAAAAAGGTGGATTGCCTATAGAAGCTTTTAACAAAGTTCAAGAACTTTTTAATGGAATTGAATGGGGTGATGGTGGTGATGATACTGCTTTGTGGTTAGTGAAACAGTTATCTGTTTTAAATGATGCGAAAGAGTTGTCAATGTTGAGGAATAAACTGAGTAGTTATTCTTCACCTTTTGACTCTGAGGATGAAAACAATGCATCGAGTGTTGCTGATAGTTTGGATTTTTTGGAATCTGAAAGGAGTAATGATATGACGTGTACTCCTGCATCTACAGTGAGCTTTTATGATGAAGCTTCATATAGAGATTCTATTTCGGATGGCACACCTGATCGGAAATCATTGGAGGATCCATTGCAGCTGCAGCATAAGATATCAGATGCAGGTGATTCCACCTCCACCCGTACAAGTGCTGATTTAAGTAATGTGAATGGTTCTTTAGCATCACCAAAACATGTTCCTGTTGATAGTTTAGATGATGCTATAGCACCACCTCCCACTTTGCCTCCTATCTCCACAAAGACCCTTCCACCACCGCCACCACCACCACCACCACCACCACCACCACCACCGCCCATCGCTTCTACTTCTAGTTTTTCCAAGAGTCCACCACCCCCACCCCCACCCCCACCTCCACCTCCACCTGTTTCTTTGAAAGCCCCTCCACCACCACCACCTCCGCCTCCACCTCCACCTGTTTCTTCAAGAGGTGCTCCACCACCACCACCACCTCCACCTCCACCCATTTCTTCGAAAGGCCCTCCTCCGCCACCACCACCACCTGTTTCTTCAAAAGGTCCTCCACCACCCCCACCTCCACCTCCATTTGGCGTGGCTACTAAAGCTAGTGCTACCCCTGGACCACCACCACCGCCGCCCCCTCCTCCCCCTCCTGGAGCTCCACGTCAAGGAACAGTTTCTTCAGTAACCAAGCCACCTGGTGCACCTCCACCTCCACCTCCACCTCCGGGCCGCAATGGTGCAGGTCCACCAGGTCCGCCTCCACCCCCACCTCCTGGCCGCACCGGTCCACCAGGACCACCTCCACCTCCACCACCAGGTCGCAGTGGTGGACCACCTCCACCTCCACCTCCAGGTCGTAGTGGTGGGCCAGGTCCACCGCCACCTCCACCTCCTGGAACAAAGGGTGGTAATGGGCTGCAACAAGCTGCTCCTTCCACTGGACGAGGGCGTCTTACTGGTTCTTTAAGTAGTGGAAGAAGTAAAGTTGGTTCGGGTTCTTCAATTCCTCCTAAAAAGACCTCTTTAAAGCCCTTGCATTGGGTCAAAGTTACCAGAGCAATGCAAGGGAGTTTATGGGCTGATAATCAAAAACAAGAAGACCAATCAAGGTATATATTATTATTATTATATTTGCATGTTACAATTCACAATTCACAAATCAAATAGGAGTTTATGTTTCTGATATAAAATAAAAGCAGAGTAGAAATGTAAAATAAGTTTTATATTTGATTTTGTAGGGCTCCTGAAATTGATATATCAGAGCTTGAGAGTCTATTTTCAGCAGCTTCTGTTTCTGACAGTACCAGTAAAGGTGGTGCTCGACGAGGTTCAAAAATTAATAAACCTGAAAAAGTTCAATTGGTTAGATACTGGATTTACTCCTACTTTCATCTTTTTTTTATGTTATGTAGCTTTTTCCAATTTATTTTCTTACATTTGATTTTTAGGTTGACTTGCGTAGAGCATATAATTGTGAAATCATGCTTACCAAAATAAAGATTCCTCTCCCAGATATGATTGTAAGTTCATTTTCTTCCTAGGAGTTAGGACTTAGGATGCTATGCTACTTTTCCCTTAAGTTTAAAAACTTCATTTTCCATCTTAGAATGCCATTCTTGCATTGGATGCTTCTGCTTTGGACATCGATCAAGTTGAAAATCTTATCAAGTTTTGTCCCACAAAAGAAGAAATGGAGACATTAAAGGTACTGTCTCTAGTCTTTACTTTTCCCATAAGTTGAAATTATTATTATTATATTTCACTTATACTTTGTCCTAAATAATTCTTGTAATCTCAGAACTATACAGGAAACAAGGAAATGCTTGGAAAGTGTGAACTGGTATTTTTACTCTCTGTAGGATTTAAAGTGTTTGAGAGAGAAATTTATTATAATTCATGGTCATGGGTTTGTAGTTTTTCATGGAGCTAATGAAGGTCCCACGGGTTGAGTCAAAACTTCGAGTATTTGCATTCACAATTACTTTTACCAGTCAGGTAGATATAACATATAAGACTTTTTACCATTTTTTCAACATTATTGTTAGTTTTTCATGCATTTAATTCTAAAAATTTCCAGGTTAGTGATTTGAGACGAAACCTGAGTGCAATCAATGATGCTACTATCGAGGTAAGGATTCTTACATTTCAACATTATTCTTATTTATTTGTTTCTATCAGAATCCTTATAATTACCTAATATATATATATATATATATATATATATATATATATATATATATATATATATGTATATACATAATGTAGGTTAAGGAATCTGCAAAGTTGCGTCAAATAATGCAAACAATTCTTACGCTTGGAAATGCTTTAAATCAGGGCACTGCTCGAGGTACCATTCAAAACCAATAGCTTTTATTATAGCTTGACTAGCTTCTAGAAACTTGTGTTTTATCATATAAAGACAAGACATCAGACATGCATCATCTGTTTTGCAGGATCTGCCATAGGTTTTAAATTGGACAGCCTTCTTAAATTGTCTGATACACGTGCAAGAAACAACAAGATGACACTAATGCATTATTTATGCAAGGTACAAATCTCAAAACATCTTAAAATTTTTATTATACATATCTCAAGTCTCAACTCAAATTATAAATTATAATTGTGTTTATTTTTACTAGCTCCTTGCTGAGAAGATGCCAGAGTTGCTAGATTTTGACAAGGATCTTGTTCATCTAGAAACTGCCTCCAAGGTATTTCGATCCTAAAACTTAGGGGGGTTTGGGATTTTTTTTTTTTTTTTTTCATAATCAATCTATGCTGAGTTTTATTTTTCCCTTCCAAAAATGAAAGATCCAATTGAAGAATTTGGCTGAAGAAATGCAAGCAGTGAGTAAAGGTCTTGAAAAAGTTGAGCAAGAACTCACTGCTTCTGAAAATGATGGCGCTGTATCAGCTGGCTTCCAAAAGGTGAGAGTTATTCATAAAAAAAAAAATAATAATAATAATCCACAAATTGCAAGAAATAGCAACCTACTTAAATTTCTTTACTGATAATCTTATAATTATAAGCAAGCATTCCACAAGTTTCATAATAATTACATATTGCGGAATAAAAGTATGTTGCTATTATATCATTATTATTATGGGTAAATAAATTTAAGTACGTTGCTACTATGGATAAAAAACAGAATATATTGGTAATGAGCGTAAAGTTGGTTGGTATTTTGTATATATTTTATTATAACCGATGAATATTTTATTAAACCAACCATGTTTTCAGGCGTTGAAGGCTTTTCTTGATACTGCTGAAGCTGAAGTCCGGGCATTAATCTCTTTGTATACAGAAGTGGTGAGTTTTTTAACTTTTTTTTTTTTTTTTTTTTTTTTTTTTTTTTTATATATAAAATTATTCATCTCATTCCAATAAGTATTACTTTTCAGGGAAGAAATGCTGATTCACTTTCACAGTATTTTGGAGAAGATCCTGTTCGTTGCCCATTCGAGCAAGGTTTGATCTTTCCTTTTTTCATGTTAATGTCTCTCTCTCTCTCTCTCTCTCTCTCTCTCTCTCTCTCTCTTTCCTGACATTTATTTATCTAAAGTTTAATTATTTATAAAAAATATATATAAGTGTTTCTTGGGTTTGTTGTTTATGTAGTGACACAAATATTGGCATTGTTTGCTAAGATGTTTAAGAAAGCACGTGATGAAAATGCACAGCAAGCAGAGACAGAAAAGAAGAGATTAGAGAAAGAAGCTCATGCTTTGAGGAAAGAAAGTATTAATATTGATGTCGATCACAAAAAAGATCTCAGAAACATGATCCGTGATACATCTTTATCCATGAAGAAACAAAATTCATAAGAAAGAGTATTCGTTTGTTTGATTTTTCTTCCATATATAATATGACCCTCACACATACATCAACATGTATATATACAGAGAGATGTTCTGATGAGTAGGGATATAAAGTAAAAAATTTCATTCTATGCGGCGCCTTAATCGACCATAAAATTTGTCATCCTCGATTTTGGAGAATGACAAATTCGAAATAATATAATTTTAGATTAATTTAAATTAAAACAGTTTTAATGAAATTATTCCTGAGAGATAACATTAAGACAGATTTGGAGCAAGTAAGTGATTATTGGATTTATATATGAAAGAAGATAAGACGAACGATACAAAAATAAGATTTAAAGTGTCCAACTAAAAACTAAGGTCCAAGTCTGAATTATGATGAATACGAACGAGATTACATGAAGTGAACGTGTTTTTGAGGGCTTTTTTAAGTTTAGTATATTGAAGGGTGTAAATTGAAACTTTCAACTTTTAGTGGGGGTTTAAATGTGAAAGTTTTTTTGGACAGTTGTTTTAAGTTTCGTATACTGAAAGGTGTAAATTGAATTTTTCAAAATTTAGTGGGTTTTAAATGTGAATTTTAAATTGATAGGTTTATGGAAAATGATAAATCTACCCAGTTTTTTTTTTTTTTTTTTTTTACAAAACTTAGCCAAAAAAATGTTTTTCCCAAATAACTACTAATTTTGCATATTAAATATGCAAAATCAGGGAAATGTAAAAAAAATAGTTTTCATTTTTCTTTCTGAAAAATACTATAGGTTTGAAATGTCAAAACGTCCAAAACGCTGTTATTTCAAAATTTTGTTTTTTACAAGTTTAACATGTGAAACTAACATTCAATGCGAAAATATATTGCAAAAATGTTTACATTTTGACAAAATTACAAGAATGGTCCCTGTGGTATGTCAAAACTAGCAACTTTGGTCCAAAATGGGTTTGGCTCGCAAGGATGGTCCAATAGTTTCGTTTTGTTGCGAGTTTAGTCCAAAAATTTTATAACTTTTTATAATGACGGATTTGCCCTTGGCATTTTCCCTTTTTCAATTTTTTTATTACAAAAATCAAAAAAAGAAAAAGAAAAAAAAAGAAAATCTCTCTCTCTCTCTCTCTCTCTCCTCGACCTCCCTCTCATCTCCAACTCGTCTATCTCCCTCGTTTCTCACTTCTCCGGCGAAGAGAGCCACTACAGTCGACTGTGGCAGCTCCTCCGCCTCCCCCTGTGGTGACCCACCACCATCCAACATCCCAAATCCAAATCCACAATGCGTGTTCTTCGTTCTTGATTTTGGATCTGAAATAAAACCCAAATCCTAAAGTTGAAGGTAGGTATGTTCTTGGTTCCAAATTTGAAAAGAAGATGAAGAAGGGTAGATCTGAAACAAAATCCACACACAAAACCTTACCTGAAACGAAAACCCACCATCGATTCGAAGAGAAACGAAAACCCACCATTGATTTTGGATCTGAAATAAATCACTACACTTGTTGCCTCCTATATTTCTTTCCTGCCGGCGAGAATGAAGAGAAAGGAAGCTGGTGGTCGGAGGGAGTGGCAGCATTTGGTGGTCGGAACTCACAACATCAGCGGTGGCAGCAAGCTGTTTGGGTGGCAGAGCGACGGGAGGAGCTCGGTTTCCTCCTTAGCGGTGCAGTATGACTGGAGAGAGGTAATGAGGGTGGTGAGGTCATGTACGGTGGTGAGAAGTGGCGTTGAGCGACTGGGACGGGCGGAATAAGGCTGGCAGTCGACGAGTCTCCTTCTCTCGTCATCGTTGCAGATTCAAAGGGGGGGGGGTGGATGAAGAAAGTCGGGAAAGGCAGTGGTGGTGCTGTGACAGGCGAAGAGGTGGTGGATGTTCACGGTGGTCACCACAGCAACACCACCGGTGTCAAAACCACTGGTGCTCCATTCTTTGTTAAACAGAGACGAAATGTAACGCCCGCAGATTCGGGCTAGTCAATTTAGAGACAATAAGCATCAAAAATGAGTTTTGATGGAAGATTATTTAGAAGGAGTAATCTTAACCAAATGGTAGTATATTTTACAAGGGTTCCGTACATATAAAGAACGCCGAAATCCGAGTTATAACGAAGAAGTTATGGCCCGTCGAAGTTTTTCGGCAAAAACCGGCATGGCACCGGGAGACGTAAATAGTGAATTTACGATGGAGGACTTTTTAGCCTTACAAATCTAAGAAAAAGTTGTAGTATATGTTAAACCGAGAACATACAAAAAAAGAACGCCCAAATCTGACTTCGTATGAGGAGGTTATGAATTTTCTAAGATTTAGCATATCAGTGCACGACCCGAAACTCGAATTTTAGATCGAGCGGTTTTTGGCCTACGCGACCTAAATGAGAATTGAAGATCTCATTAATAGGAACTCAACGGTAAAAAGACAGACGAAAACGGAGTCCGTATGTAGAAGTTATGAATTTTACGCGAACATTTAACAATATAATATCCTCCTACTGTTAAATTTAAGATCGGTCGAGAATTAGCCGACGGAGTGAAAATGAAAGTTGTATATCTTATTTTCACCTACGCGTGGATATAAATAACGTCGAAAACGGAGCTCGTATGCGAAAGTTACGGGGTTTAGAAGTCGGCAGGGTGCTGCTGCAAAAAGGGTGACGTGGCACAATCTTGGCCATTGCTTTCTCCCCAAGGCTTGCCACTAGATGGTGACATGTGGCACTAATTTCAGCCATATTTCACCCTATAAATACAACCCATTCCACCCTCATTTCTGTTGGATTAGTGTCTAAGTCCATAACTATTTTTGGTATGTACTTGACCCGATTATGAGCATGGTCCTTTTGGGTTGCCTTCACCATAGCAATATGTAGGATGAATTAAGGAGAGAAAGGTTTAATTATGATTTATTAATATATTATAAGAATAATATATTAAAGGACTCGGCGAGTTGAAGGACCAACTCGCCGAGTAGAAGCGGGATGAGACGCGAGATTTAAGTGATGGACTCGTCGAGTCGGATCCCGGACTCGACGAGTAGGCTCTGTATGGACAAAACCCTAATTTGAGGGTTTGCACCCTATTTAAATAACCTTATACAGCCTCCATCGCCCCTTTATGCTCCCAGAAAACCCTCTATAGCAAACCCTAAGTGTTTTGGTGCAATATTTAAAGCTTTTGAGTGATTTTTGTGGTTTTGTTCACAAGGAAGAAGGAAGAACATAGAAGGATCAAGAGGAGACTGAAGGATTCGAGTTGGTTCATCATTTGCAGTCTTTGAAAGGTATAAAGTCTGTACCTTGCTCTTTCATTTGGTAGATCCCTTTTTGGGGAGATTTAGGGCTTTTATAAGCCATTTTGGTAACCAACCATGATTGCAAACATGGTTGGGGGTCAAGACTTCGGATCTTGCACTGGGGAAGAGTCACAAGGCAGATTTGGGTTGCTTTTGCACCCAAGACAGGTCCCATGCATCATAAGAGCTTATTTTATGTCCTTTTGAGCTCAAAGTCCCATGCATGCACGTAAAGTTTGTAACTTTACGTGCTAGAACGATTGAAGGAGCTTAGATCTACCTTTTGGTCAAGTGTTGTACATCAGAAATCGAGGATTTAGGGTGTGGATGTCATCGACTCGGCGAGTCCGTTCTTGGGACTCGACGAGTCCAAGGCTTTGAGTCCCATATCTGTTGAGGGCCAAAGAACTCAGTTGGGTGTTAGAAGGGTTGTAGCAGGACAGAAAGAGTGACCCAACGCATTGGACCTAGTTTTAGACCTGGAGTTCATGGGACTCGACGAGTGCTAGAACAGACTCGGCGAGTCCAAGACAATCTCCTTATGGTTGAAGATGAACTCGACGAGTTGTTCATACAACTCGGCGAGTCGGATGAAGGTTCATTCGATGTTCATATCGAAGAGGGACTCGACGAGTTGGCGGCCCAACTCGACGAGTAGAGTCGTGGATGAGGATAGTGGAAGAGATAGGGACTCGACGAGTTGGCGGCCCAACTCGGCGAGTCGGGTCAACTGGAAGTTGACTTTGACTTTGACTTTGACTTTGACTTGGTCAGGGGTAAAATGGTCATTTTACCCTAAAGAAGATATCAGGTTCTAAATGAGTGTTTTGTGGGATTATAGCCGGAGGGTTACCGGAACAGCAGTCAGACAGTTGCTGAGCAGTTTTCCAGCAGTCAGCTTTACGAGGTGAGTTACCTTCCAGTAGCGGTGGGTCTACGGCCACAATGCCGGCCCACCAGTAGGAGTTGTATATTAGATGATTGTCTTTGTGATATTCATCTAGGTTTGCTACTACCTGATATGTTATGTGCTAGTATGATATGATGTTATGTGCAAGTAGCAGTAGGGGAGATAGTCCCTAAGATCTCCGGTCGATAGGGCCAAAGAGGGGTAGTCATACCCAGTCATACTAGATAGAATATGATTATGTGATACATGTTATGTGGTAGTGGTAGTGGGGTGAAATAGTCCCCAGTATCCGGTCGACAGGACCGAAGGGGAGGCCAGCACCCAGATATGTTAGGCAGTATCCGGTCGACAGGACCGAAGGGGAGGCCAGCACCCAGATATGCTAGGCAGTATCCGGTCGACAGGACCGAAGGGGAGGCCAGCACCCAGATATTCTAGGCAGTATCCGGTCGAGAGGACCGAAGGGGAGGCCAGCACCCAAATATGCTAGGCATTATCCGGTCGACAGGGCCGAAGGGGTAGGTCGGGCACCCAGATATGCTTGACAGTATATGCATGATATGTGATTTTATGGTATGTGGTACGATGGGGGAGCTCACTAAGCTTCGTGCTTACAGTTTTCAGTTTTGTTTCAGGTACCTCTTCAGCGAAGGGGAAGGAGCCGGCGCGGTAGCTGCACATCATACACACACCCCAGATTCCGCACTATGAGTTTCTTTGGGATTGTGCTCTGACATTATCACTATTTATGATTTGGATTTTCAGACATTATACATAGTTTTATGAGATGTTATGATTTGACAATTTTTTCCCGAATGTTTTAATGAAAGTAATTTATAAAAATGAAATTTTTGGGCGTGAAAATTGGGCTGTTACAAGTTGGTAT